CAGCTGGGCGTCTTTCCGGAAAGCAACTCACAGGCTGGCGGACGCCCAATCCTAATTGGACCCCACAAAAACAACAACAACACCATATGGAAGGACGAGGCCTTGATTTGGTACAATCCTAGCCATGCACATCACCCCGATTGCTTTCAAAGAAACTCACTTTGAGTTGGCCCCAAAAGAGGCCACAGGAAGCCCAAAAGCCCCTGGCCTTGCTGGGATCTGCAGTAGGTGCTGCGAACCTGGAGGTGCAAGTTCAAAACAAAGCCACTGACTGAGCCAGGGTCGAAATATGAGGTCGTCCTTTTTTGTTGGGTAACCTATGGTTGTTTTAAAGGGAAACCAAAAGGAAAACAATCATTGTTGGGGGGATCCCAGAAAAGAAGACACACACTCACATGCAGTCATCTCCGTGGACATGGGCAATCTCTTACGTGTTGAGAAGATTGGTCTGGAAAAGTCCGGACTTGCTGCTTACCGCAAGGATAAGCTTCCAAAAAAGCTGAAAGTTCAGAAATTGAGAATCAAGGTTCTGCCCCCTGGATTTTGTGGTATTTTGTGGCCAGTTTAGTAGCTCGTCCGGTTGCCCCCTTCGTCTTGATAATCTGCTTGAACTTTGCAATGAAAACAGTGCTGTTTGTCCGGCATGGGATTGTTTCCACCGGGGGAACCCCAAAATGGGTTCAAAAGAACCAAAAAGGAGTAGACTCAAGCAAGCTCAGCTCACGCTCACGTGGTTTGTTGGTCGGCATTCAATTCTTGGGGCCACGATTCTTCGGCTTTTGAGCAGCTCTCTTGGACTGAAAACTCGGTGGAAAAAGCCTTCAAGACCCACTGACAGAATGGGTGACTCCCCTGGTTTTGGTGGAGCAAATGCTACATCCCACTTTGCCACCACCCCCCCAAAAAAATAAAAACATAACTGAATCCAAATGGATCCAAATGGATCATAAGCTACTGATCTGTTGGCCAGATCTCACAAAGTCTGGCTCCGAGGGCCGGGCGAGAAGTCGAAGTTTCGCACCACAATCGCCAGCGTTACACCTTAGGCTCCCCCAATTGCCCATTGATCCTGAATAAAAATAAGGAATCCTCTCGAGGGTTGGGTGTTTTTTCAAGGGAGCCTACGAAAAAAAGAGAGACTAACGACCAAGCAACGTGGGGGCAGAAAAGCATGTGAACACGCCAAGCGCAAAAGCTTGAGCTTCCCTTCCTGAATGTATCGCGGATTAGTTCGGGGGAAGCCGGCCAACACTTCTCGTACTATACCGCGGCGACGACTTCTGCTAGTGCTGCGACTGCTGCCCCTACCCCTAGTACTAGTACTCGTCCTGACCAGCTCTATTTCCAACGGCTTGGGCAAGCTTCAAATGACTGAAAACAGGGCCTCAATCAAATCCACCGATTTAGCAGAACTTCGCCCCTGCCTGGGCCTCTGCAACTGCACAACTGCCATTCAGGTGACTCTCTCACAACACCATGAGGAGCACACATGTTTTGTTAATAGACAAAAAACCCTTTGTGCGGTTGACAGTCTTGGTCTGGGAACCTGAGAAAAACGAGAAAACAAGCGCCTGAGTTGGGGCTCCTTGGGGCAAACAAGCGTGGCTATGGTGGGCTTGGGGAAAGGGTGCCATCCCCTGAATCTTGCTTGAATTAGCTTGGTGCCATCTGACCCTGGACCGTCCCATGCGCAAGGCAGCTTGCAACTGCTTCACTTCCAGCAGGAGCGCTCGTTTGTCATCTCGTGCGTCTCTCGACTCACACCTCCCGCTGGAAAGAGGCGGTTCTTGACTCGACTTTGGAGCTCGGAAAAGAGTGTCCGTCAGGCGGATCAATGTCATGTGCAAATCGGAGCACCTGCTGTCAGCGAAGCTCCAACCCCTCCCAAGCAAGGAAACGAACTACGGTCACGCAGGGATCACCCAGGGATTACCCAGGTTTCCCTGAAACCCCAACATCAAAATCCATCCACCCTTGGCAAAACTCTCACGCTTGGGCCCCCAGCTACCTTCGAGCATGGCAAAGGCATCGCCCACGCATTTCCTGGGCCTCAAGCGAACCATCCCTCGGACACGGATAAGAAAAATGCATTCCTGGAGGTCCAGGTCTGGAATATAGGCCATGTTCATTACTGTCACTTCCAAGGGGATTGTTACAGAAGAAGTTGGCAGCTAACCCCCCAACTAACTCCCACAAAAACGCTTTCCAGTGGCCGGACTTTGCCCTGGCGGGAATTGTGTTTTGGACACGTCCATCCCTGCCCTGGTACAAGAGGCATTGGAACGCTTTTTCGTTGGTTGATCCTATTTTGAGCGGGCAACATACCAAACAATCAAACATGTCGAATCTATTGACCAACTACTGTGTCTTCGTGTCAAGGGACATCAGCGGTACACCCAAGGGCCTCCCGTATGAGCCACGCTCAAAACAGGCAGCTCCTGTAACGTCCATGGGCTCCGGCACTGTGTCTTCGTTATTCTACCGCCACATTGGCCAAATAGTGGGAACACATGATTCACACACCCCCTGGCCAAGCGCGAATGCTCACTGAAACGCCCCCTGATTAAATGCTACACACTCACATCACTACTTCTACTTCAATATTTGGAACCATCAAAAGTGGCAGTTTCCACGGAAATTACAAGTACATTTCATTTTTGAGGGAAACCCGGTGACTCCCCACTCAACCAAGTGGTCACTGAGTCACGTGTTTTTTTTTCAGCGCTTTTTTGCTTTCGAGGATGTTTTTTGCCTGTGGCCCAGGCCCAGCCCCGAAGGGAAGGAAGGCGTAGTCAGCCGCCTCGTGAAAACTGACTCGTTTGTCTGAAGGGACGGCGCTCCCTGTATTTCCCCTGCAAACACCACCCCGGCCAAACGAAAGGGGGCCGCTAAATTGGCCCAATAGGCAGTGTCTGAAACCAAAAGGGGAAATATAGGGAGCCCTGCCCGGAAGGAAACAGTGACACGGGGTGCCTGTGGTTCATCAGATGCCTTGTTCCTTCCATTCTGACCTAACAACATGTCCTAGAAAACACGCACGTCAAAATCGCCGAGCGACATTTGCCTTCGGACACGGGCGAAAAACGGGGCCCGTTCTCTTGAGGATTTTGACCCCGTCGCGAAGGCCGATGGCCTGCAACCTCGAATGGTCGCCAGCCCTGATACTAAGACCTTCCAACCCTGCTGTGGATGGACGAAATCCTGCACAGAACAAACCATGGGAAACCAAGTTTGTTTTTGTTTTCGCGTTTTACGGGTGAATCAGCATTCCAACAATTATTGAGTGGCGCGTCCATCCACGCTATCACTAAGAAAAAAGAGATCCAAGCAAGCCAAACTCAACGCGCCAAGAACATGCGGTGACGTTGTTTTTCCCACAGGTCATGTATCATGGGCCAATTTCGCTGCCTAACCAATTCCTCGAATTCTATTTTCGCTTTCTTCTTTGCCAGGGAAGAGAACCATTCAACAGGGCACAAGAAGAGTTGCTCAACATCTCTCTGAACATCCCGGTTGGAGATGTGATTCTCGCATCCCCTAAAAATAGCGAAAGTCAGTCAAACGAAACCGGGAGATTCAACAAGGATGCAAATAAGTTAGCGAAGGACCTCCGTGATGAAACTCAAATGTTCATGCTACCCTTGCACTGCCCCATTCAGGCACATGTGTAAAACAAGGGAGGAACAAAAACAAGGCTACGTAAACACACCCACTGAACTCAATCCCCCGAGCATCCGCCGTTTTGAGACGGCAAAAACATCCTGGCCCTCGGGCGATCTCATTGGGATACAGCTGCCCCTTCCACTTGGCCGGGTCGTAGCCATCCTTGCGAGCTCAAGGGCCGGGCGCGCCCCCGGTTTTCCTGATCCGTAATCTTCCATTTGCTGAAGCCCTGTGGAAAGAATTAAAATATTTCCAGTAGTGATAGATTCCTTTTAAAACCAACAAGGGAAAATCTAACATATTCTTAAGCAAATTTAAGTAATCAGTGGAGCACAGCTACAAGGGAAACCGCTGCTTTCCTGTGCAAGCATTGAGGATTGGTTTTGACCAACCCTGCCTATTGGACATCTAGCCTTTGGTGGGCATTACTAACAAAACACCAAGCATTGGCAGAGTGTTGCAATGATAGGGTGTTCCACATTGACTTCATGTCCAAAAGCAAAGTAGTCTTCCAAAGAGGTGTGAGGACTTCCATCTTGTGGTCGACCCTTCCCTCAACACAACCCGCCTCAGTTGTGGATCAGGGGTTATGGCCCGTTCTTCGCCCTTGAGAATTCCTTGCAAGGAGAACCACCCTGATTAGTCACAGGGGGTTCATTCCGGCAGCTTCCCTCAGGCATGTTTGCTGTACCTCTGCATCTGGGGCCCTTGCCCACCCTGGGATGTCTGGGTTGGTGTACCTCAGCTCGTCTCTCAGCTCCACGGAAATATCGTGGGGGGAGGGTGCCATGATTTCCGACGGCTGGAAACCCAAGCTTTTGACGGAAGTTTGGCTGAGAATCCCACATTTTGATGGCGGGTGGGTCATGACCCAGAAACTGCTGTTGACGAAACCTTCAATTTGTTATGGGCTGTATGGAAACCCAAGGGAAGCCACGCATTTGCGGCTGTCTGATTCCTACGCACCTTTGAAGCCATCCATTTGAGGAGCGTCCAGACACAATGACCATGGACCCACCGACGGAATCACAGAGATCCCCAGTATAGTTGCCATGAAGCCGAACAGTCGAACTCCGTACTATACAGTCGGCAAGGGTACTGCGTGGCTCTCGAATCTTGCTTGAGTCTATTTTGCAAGTCCGAACCCTACAAAAACAACACCCTCAAGGTATTTGCAAAATCGACCCCCGAGCGACCATACAGACGTGCCGCGACATGGCGGTAGGCTTCATGTACCTGGGCCACAAGTGCACCTTTTCTCTTCAAATCGCTTGGGCCGCTGTTGACTTAGTACCGCCGTTTCGCGTCAAAAGCCGGGGCCGCGGGCTTCCGCTTGA